AATAACACTCATTCATGAACCTTCACTTACTTAAGGTATTGGACCAAGTATTCTTCCTGCATTGTCTTTTTTGATCCTAAACCTAATCTTATTTTAGATAGTATTATCTGTTTTTTAAAATGAGGAGCAAACTGAAGTTGACATGAGGTTTAAGTAACATAAAAAGATCACATGGCTACTCTGGACTATTAAGATTTTAAACCTTTGATTTTACTACATCAAACAACTTTTGTTTCTCCTGTCATAGAACTAACTAGGATTGAGTAAGAGTCATGGAARTGGAAAATTAGAGTTAAAAGAGGATATGTAATGGAATTATGTAAGGGCAGAAGTAAAATTACTTTGTATCACCAAAGATGCCTGGCACATAGGCGATGCCATTTAATAAAGTGCACAGATCATGTTAAGTTCTCTTAGAAACTTCAGCTTCCCTATATATGATTCTTTAGTAGCGTAGTTATCCTTGCACGTGCGCCATCTACTGGGGACACAGTCATCCCCTTCACCACCTGCTCAGCCTTGCTTTTTGCCTTCAGGTTCGTTGACCAAGTCGCATTGCTTGTATTTAGGTCAGTTTAAAAGTATAAAGTGAAAGATTCATTGGGGATTTTATACCAAAGAAAAATAGGCTGAAAAAAATTTAAATGTTAAAAGGTCTCTTTTTCGATTTCCATAAGTTTGAGCTGCAGGCAATTTGAATAAATAGAACTCCATGAAAGGCAAAAAATTTGTAAAATGACTAAGGAACCCAGCCCGCCCGGACTATTTAAAAAAAAAAAATTCTTCTTTTTTTTTTTTTAGTTGCAGATGGACACAGTATCTCTATTTATTTTTATATGGTGCAGACTATACAACCCAGTGCCTCATGCATGCTAGGCAAGTACTCTACTAATGAGCTATAACCCCAGCCCCAGCCTGGACTATTTTATTGATTGAACAGCTTTGAGTGAGCAATACCCCATTGGTTATCACTGGGTCACATTCATCTGGAACATGTCTGGATGACATCCCTGGTAGGATCTTTATCCGATGTCATTTTCAGCCAGAGCAAGTCCATCAGACATTTTCCTGCCAGACTCTGGCAATCTTTTGAAGACTAGGGCTGGGGAAAAGGGAAAGAGTCATAATCTCTAGTTATTCTGCTTTAACTTTGACAGCAGAATCTAATGTATTCTGCCAAACACAGAGTGATAGTTAAAAAAAAATAGTTTCTGATATTACATATAATTCATTTATTTAGGAAGATCTTTTATTGTTTCTGTTTTGGAAGTACTACTCCCAAGGAAGGAGTTACAAGATTCCTTTTTATAACAAAATAATAATTTTTGTAGGTGGATACAGTATTTTTATGTGGTGCTGAGGATCGAACCCAGTGCCTCATGCATGTGAGGAAAGCACTCTACCACTGAGCCACAACTCCAGCCCCACAAGATTCCTTTTTATTCATTAAAGAACAAAAAAGTCAAAACAGAAAAATTCAGACCAAAAATAAAACCAAACTCATCAATCCCAACTGTTGTTTAGTATATCCAAGTTATTATGCTCATTTGCAGAACTGGTAGCTAATAAAGAAGGAAAGAGAAGGTTGAACTCTCAAAGCCAGGCTTTGTGGTTCAGAACTGGTCCTGATCACATTTCTTAAACATAAATAATCAAATAAATAATTTCTTTAGAGTCTAAATTGTTTTTTTCCCCCTCTGAAATGGAGGAAACCTACTTTCAAAAGGTGTTAACCTGAAAACCTGTTAATCTACCATTAGTGTTTGTGTTTAGCCTTCCCATTTCCTTCTGTTATACAGAAAAGGAAAGGTGGATAGACACAAACACTGTTCTGCTTGTTTTTCCTTGTTTTAAGCAGTAGAACCTCTCTCAAAACACTGGAAGTGCTATGTATTTCCTTTTGGGTGAGGGGATAAACATAAGAACTGTAATACAGTTTACCAGAAGAAGAAAATTTTCTATTAGATATTATAAGTGGTAAATAGCAGCATATTAACAAGTAGCAGACAGGACAGTTTGGGTTAGGGGATAAATGGAGCTGTCTTTTAGAGGAAAAAATGTTCATAGGAAATGTAATGACACGGGACTGTTCCACTTGGCTCACTATCTGTGAGCCTCTGAAGCACCATCTTACTCTATATTTCTCCTTTCTTTCTTTAAAAAAAAATTTTTTTTTTAGTTGTAGATGGATACAGTACCGTTATTTTACTTACTTATTTTTTTATGTGGTGCTGATGATCAAACTCAGTGCCTCACACATGCTAGGTGAGCGCTCTACCACTGAGCCACAATGCCAGCCCTCATTTCTTTCTCTTATCTTTCTTGTTGATATTAAGAATAGTGCAAACAAGGGCTGGGGATGTGGYTCAAGCGGTAGCGCGCTCGCCTGGCATGCGTGCGGCCCCGGTTCGATCCTCAGCACCACATACCAACAAAGATGTTGTGTCCGCCGATAACTAAAAAATAAATATTAAAATTCTCTCTCTTCTCTCACTCTCTCTTTAAAAAAAAAAAAAAGAATAGTGCAAACAAAAGTGTGCCCATATGTGTGTTGGACCTCTATTTTACACATACCATTTTATAGTCCTTCAAATGTAATAGGCAGAGTGAATCTCTAGCAGAACTGGATTCCTTTCTGTCTTCTTGTAGATCCCTAGAGAACAGGTCACACAGAGTGACCTCTGGGTCTTTCCAGATAATTTCCCTAGAGTGGCAGGCCTTGTAGGCATAGTCTGTTTTCCAAGTTATTGTGGGTTGCAGTTATGTCAGATATGGACACTGCATGAAAAAGATCTGTTGATTTTCAAACTGCAGTATCAGTATCTCATGACCTGATTATTAAGCCACTTAGTATTAGTTTTGGTTATGACACTTCTGATACCACTTTCTGTATTAATTAGGACAGAAATTAAACAGCTATGCCAGAGAATTCAAAATATACCGGTGGCTTATAAAACCCATTTTGTTCTTGTGTAATATTTCTGTAGCAGGAATCCATGCTGTTGAGGCAGCTTTGTTCCATGTGGCTTGTTTCTGGACCAAACTTTCTTTCTTTCTTGTTTTTTTTTTTTTTTTCCATCCTCTGGAGCATTGATTTATTTGCAGTACTGCAACTGGGTGGCTGTCACGTCCATTCCAGTCCATAGGAAAGGGTAACATAATTTTGCTCAGAGCAGGTCACTTCCTTTTAGGTGATGGAGAAGAAGTGGCAGTCACTTCTGGTCATACTCTGTGGGTGAGAACTTGCCAAGATTTGTTGCAAAGAGTATTGGCTGAGCCAGATATGTGCTGTCCTAAAATTGAGTACTACTGAGGAAGGAGAATATGGAGTTTGTCCCTTGTCTATTTTCTACAGTTATGTGCTTTATCTTGTTCATCTGTAAAGTCCTTGACATATTCTGAATTTGAGTATCTTTTTGTGAAAATATATTACATGGATTTCCTTTCATCTGGGATGGATTCATTTTGCTCATGGCGTCTTTTTTTATATATAAATTTTGATTTTTAATGTAGTAAAATTAGCAAAATTAGTGTCCTCCCCCATACAAATATGTGTTTGTAGATTTGATTCTGGGTACTCTATATCAATTTTGTTTCTAGGGGTAGACAGGACACCTTGGTTGATGTGCCTTACAAGCAATATGTAATAAACTTTCCAGTTTTAATTTAAAAAGGGAAAATATTATTTTAACACTGAAAACCAAAACCATCTGTTTGATGCCTCATGTAATATTATTAATTTTACTTGAGAGAATTTACAATTATTTGTARTTTTTCYAACTGTAAAATTAATATTTATCAAATTTCTTTTCCCAAAAATACTTCCCCTAAAATACATTTTGAATTTAGAAGATAGTCCCAAAATAGGGACATCAAATTGAAGTTCTGAAATGAGAGATGAAAGATCAAGTTTGATGTGAAAATTAGCATCCAAGCTGCTATGTATGTCTGCTGTGCAGGTCCCATGTGTTGGGGAATGTCAGAGAGGAGGGGGTGCTACAGATGCAGACCTTAGTCCTTGTGTGAAATGAGGTTTTAGGAATTTGAAGGCTTGTACGTGGCCCCTGGTGGAGTTGATGAGAACAGCTGCTGAGGAGGAGGTGAAGGGAAGGTGAGGGAGCTCAGGCACTCTATAGGGCATTTCATGAAGTTGGTGCCAACAGGAGCAGCTGAAAGGGCTTGATGATTTACTTGACTGTTTGCAGGCATGTGAGGTTGGTATGGAAAGGTGTACACAAATTTGGAGTTAGAAGAGAAGGCTTATAACCAAGAGTGTGGAAGTGCCTTGGGATCATTGGTGGAGATGCAGTGTTTCTTTATTCTGGTAATACACAAGAAAGCCAGAATGGGCATACGATTTTTATTTAAAGAGATGAATGATGTTAGTGGTGAAGGTGTTTGAAAATCCTCTCAGCAGTTAGGTTGCCTCCTGAGAAAGGAAGTACGAGGTATTTGGGGTTAAAGTCCTGAGTAGAATTGAAAAACAATATAATCAAGGTGTGTTCTTTTCAAATATTTAACTATTAGAATGGCTAATAATTAGAATCCATGATTGTTTTAAATTAATGAGAATTTCACTTCATAAAGCATGAAAACTTCAAAATGAGTCACACTGAAATTCATATGTTCTGAAGATCAACTGCTATAATCCTGAATATAATGATAATATTACTGAGATGAAACTTCTGAGTCTATTTTTACTGTGGGCACAAGGAAAAGTAATACTTTGTTTTATAGAAGTCTTTTTATAAGCCAAGGATGAAACCTTTTATGAAATTTATGACTGTTAAAGTATAAATTTTTTGATTATCCTTTTGCTGAAGAGAACAGATATAAACAATAGCAATAATTATATATGTGAACTTTTTCTTTATCAGTGAAGTATTGTCATTTGTTGTTTGATTTTTTTCCATTAACACAGATGTGTTGTAGATAAATTCACCAATGATTGATGTAAACATAAAAATGACTCTTTTTACCTCTTGTTTTCTGTGGAGCAGAAGTCAAAGAACAGTCTGCAGAAGAGGATGCCGAAGCAGAAGTGGATAGCAGCAAGCAGCCAGCCTCAGCTCTTCAGCGATCCGTGTCTGAGGACTCTGCAAATTCCCTCGTCTCTGTTGGTGTAGAAGCCAAAATCAGGTTAGAGAATAAAGAGAGCTGGATTTTAAAAATTCAGGGAGGAAGGATTTGAGATGTTAATCTCGATGGAGTTTTATTGTTTAGTAGCTTTAAATTTAAGGCCAATACCTCTGTAGTTGGGATGGAGGATGGCTATGGAGTTTGGGGATTAGAGAGCAGGGAATACATGAGGGTGTTGCTCTGTTCACCCCATGTGAACACAGACAGTTAGCAAAATGCTATTCCTGGCCAAAGAGATAGCTGTGAGTATTTAGCATAAGAACTGATTTTTGATACTTAATTGTAAACTTGAGTATGTTCTTTTCCCTTACCCTCTCCCCATTCTTTCAAAAAAGAAATATAGGACCTTACCACTTACTGGTATATAGTTCAGCTTTAAAGTAGGCAACACCTTGCCTGCTTTCTGGTTTTCTTCACTCGCTGGAAAGCACCTCCAGTTTCACAGCTATGAATCTTGTGTATCCTTAAGAGCCCCCCATTTTTATTTCCAGTTCCACTCCAGATTTCCTTGTCCGCTGGTCTGCTCATCATCTGCATCTGGAGGTGTGTTAGATACCTCATCTTTAACAGTCCCAAAGTATGCCTGCTCTCTCTACCTCTGCCTCAGATGATCTTCTTCCCTGGGCTTCCCCATTTCAGTAAACAATACCAATGTATGCTCAGTTAATTTAGGACAGTTAATCCTCAATTTCTCTTTTTTCTCATACCTGATAATMCAAACCATTAAATCCTGTGGCTCAACACAGCTTCTTACTATCTTGTCTGTCATCTTGGTTGAAACCATTGTTGCCCTTGGGAAGCTGTAGCCTTTTAAACCACCTCTCCCTCCCTGCTTCTCTTCCTTCTTTCAATCTTAAAGATTAAATAATCTAATTCTCTTTACCTTTCAACTTTTTTTACCTCCATTTTTTTTCTTAGCAAAGTTGCAAAAATTATTCTAAAATGTAAATAATTTCTCCCCCTATTATATTATGCTGTTCGATTGAAATTAAATACTTAAATTATATTTAACATTTCATATCCTTGCTATTTTTCCAAGGCATGATCTGCCCCTGGCTGTCTCTGAGACTTTATTTGTCACTGTGCTTTTTCACACTGTCTTTGCTGCTCCTGAACACACCAATCAGGTTTCTGTATGAGGGTCTTTGAGCTTGCTTTGCTCTCTATCACATGATTTATCTCCCAGAGAGACCTCCTTACCCCCTGCTTATTATACTATTATGTGAATCCAGGTAAAGGGTGTAAAAGTGTTGATTATACTGCAGTTCCTTCTCCCCCAGTAGTTTTAGGAAGGTTTAAATGTCTTAAAAGTCAAACACTTGGGGCTAGGGTTGTGGCTCAGCGGTAGAGTGCTTGCCTAGCACGTGTGAGGCTCTGGGTTCAATTCTCAGCTCCACATAAAAATAAATAAATAAAATAAAGGTATTGTGTCCAATTACAACTAAAAAAAATATTTAAACAAGCAAAAAAACAAAGACTTTCAGGTCTTGTAGTTCAGTCATTAACCCATTTGGAGTTGGTTTTTGTATTTGGTGTGAGTAAGGGTCATTCTTCTGTATGTGGATAGCCAGTTTTCCCAGCACCATTTATTGAAGAGGCGATTATTTTGCCATTGTGTGTTCTTGGCATCTTTGACAAAAGATGTGTGGGCTTATTTCTGTAATGTCTTTCCTGTTCCATCAGTTTTTGTGTCTTTTTATACCAGTGTCATGTTGCTTTGATATGTAATCATTTTGTGATATGTTTTGAAGTCAAGAGAGTGTGATGCTTTAGCTTTGTTCTTTTTACTCCAGCTAATTTTGGCTATTTATGGTCTTTTGTGGTTCCATACAAATTTAAGAATTGTTTTTTCTATTTCTGTGAAAAATGACATTGGATTTTTTTTGGACATTGAAATTTTGATAGGATCTTCATTGAATCTTTGGGTTATTTTGGGTATTAAGAACATTTTCACAGTATTCTTTCAGTCCCTGAACATGAAGTAACTTTCTATTTATTTGTGTTTTTCTTCAGTTTCTTATATCAGTGTTTTATAGTTATCCGGATACAGGTCTCTTACTGCTTTAGCTAAATTTACACTGAAGTATTAAAAAAAAAATTTGTTGCTAGTGTTAAATGAGATTGTTCTCTAACTTTTGGTTAGCTCAGTTTTAATATGTAGAAATACTATTTTTTAATGTTGATTTCATATCCTGAAACTTTAATGAATTTATTTATTTATTTATTTTTGGTCTAACATTTTTTGGTGGCATCTTCAGGGTTTTCTGTACATGCATAAGATCACATCAGCAAATAGAGACAGATATGTGCAACAGATAACTTAAAAATTTCTTAAAAATTTACATGTTTCCTATTAGAGAAAATTGTATTTTTTTTCTCGTTTCATCACTCTAGCTAGGACTTCTAGGACTTTCAACTGTGTTGAAAAGAAGTGGTTGAAAAAATGGTGAGAGTAAAAATAAAATTTTACTGTTTGTTGCATATATACTTATTTCTCCCCTTTACTTTGTATTTTGTTTGCATTTTGCCTGCTTTCTTTCCCCCAGAGATATTTTTGAAGAATTAGCTTTTGATTTTGTTGATCTTCTCTATTTTCACTGATTCTGTTACTTTCCTTTTCGTTTCTTGTCTTCTTTTGATTAATGTTCTATCAGTGTCTTCATTTATTTTTTCCCCCTGTCTGTAGTTGAAAACTTCAGCTTACTAATATCTAAACTTGAATCTACTGATAATTTATGTAAATTTTAAGTTTCCCTTTAGTTTCAACTTTATCTCCATCTCACAAATTTTTACAGTAAATAACTGAAGGGTTCTTAGCAATATATTTTCTAGTTTACCAATGTTTAGAAAATTTTAAGTTTATCTGTTGCACATTTCTAGTTTTATTGCATTATTTTCAGAGAATATTGTCTGTAAGATATGTCATTTTTGAATATACCATGTCTTTATTTATGGCTAATACGTACTCTATATTCAGATTGTTTTAATATGCTTGAAAAGAGCAAACTCTTCGTTGCAAACAGAATTGAATATAATATTTWAAAAAACTAGATTTTTTTCCTATTCCCTGTTAATGCAAAATGTTATGAAAGTTAATGGGGTAGCTACTGCAGGGGTGATAGTTGGAGACTTTTAATGCCCGAGAAGAAAGATTTGGTTGTAGAAGCAGTATAAAGAGAAAATATGTCTAAGAGGAGACATATGTTTAAATTTTGTTATTTCTAAGGTCATTTATTATGTCTGTATTCCATAGTATGTATTGTTTTTTTGTCCTTCCTTTGGGGCGGGAGTGGTTTGCTGGGGAATAGAACCCTGGACCCTGTACATGTTAGGCAGTCACTCTATCACTTGAGATATATCCTCTTCTCCTCTTTTTAACTTTTTAATCTCTTCTTTTTGAAAATTAGTAGACTTTAAATTTTAGAACAGTTTTAGATTTACAGAATAATTGAACAGTGTTTCCATCACCACATCTCCAACCCCCACAGTTTAGTTAACATTGTGCATTAGTGTGGTTCATTTGTTATAATTGATAAACTAACATTCGTGCACTATTTATTTATTTATTTTTTTAGATGTTGGTGAACCTTTATTTTATTCATTTATTTATATGTGGTGCTGATTTTCTTTAGTCAGATTTAAAAAAAATTTTTTTTTTAGTTTTACATGGACACAATATTTTATTTCATTTATTGATTTTTATGTGGTGCAAGGATTGAACCCATTGCCTTACCTGTATGAGGCAAGCACTCTGCCACTGAGTCACAACCCCAGCCCTGGTCAAATGTTTTTTTTACAGATCATTTTCGTAAGTATAAATTAGAATTTAAATATATATATTTATTTATAAATATATTTATATTTAAATATATATTTTAGTTGTCACTGGACTTTTATTTACTTCTATGTGGTGCTGAAAATTAAACCCAGTACCTCACACATGCTAGGCAAAAACTCTACCACTGAGCCGCAATCCTAGCCCTAGAATTTTTTGATTTTGGTATGTTCACTAGTTTTAGAAAAATCATGGTGGTTTAGGAGTATAGCACTGGACTCTATCCCTAGCACCACAGGAAAGGGGGAAAAATCATGCTATAGAAAAGTAGAATTTCATAGGTATGATCATTATTAAACTTAATTGTTCTTATGGTATAATCATAGAATATACTGTAGAAAATAAGTTGAAAAAAGTCTAGCTTGCACTGAAGATATAATTTTGAAGCACCAGTATCTGGTTGTGTGTTACTTAAGAATTGTTGAGTAAAGCTGCTTTTCTCTTTTCTGTCTCTTTTCATTTTTCATTTTTACCAGTGAACAACTCTGTGCTTTTTGTTATTGTGGGGAAAAAAGTTCCTTAGGACAAGGAGATTTAAAGCAATTCAGAGTAACACCTGGATTTATCTTGCCATGGAAAAACCAGACTTCCAACAGGGACATTGATGACAACAGCAGTGGGACCTATGAGAAAATACAAAATTCAGCTCCACGTCGGCAGAGAGGACCGAGAAAGTGAGCAGTTTTGAATTTAAATTGTTGGGATGGAATAAAACTGTTTTTAGTGTGATGTTTTTAAGTTTACAGATGGGGTTGAACCACTATTAAAGATTTCCTCCCATTTCCCACATTTCTGAAGAAACTTAATGACTCACCATTAACCCAGAAAACAGTCCTTTCCTTGAAATTTCTTTCTTTCTTTCTTTTTTTTTTTAAATCTGTTTTCTTAATTGTATGACAACAAAATCAGTATAATGACGAAAGTTAACTTTTGGAAGGAACTTTTAGAGAACATAACATAGGCTGAAGGGAGTTCATGGAATTTGTAAATGCAAGAAGACAATACATCAGTGTGGTCCTGCTTTTCTTCTCTAAATAAGCCTTTTTTGGTAAGCGTTTAACATGATAGCAAAGTCAGATTTGTCACTGTTCATGTCTTCTGTATCATTCATTTATTCATTCTCTCATTTAATTAATTTATCTAATTTATATGTGTGTTTGTGTCAGAGAATATTGAGCTGCCCTATAAATTCTCAGCATAATACAATTCTCTCCCTTTCTTTCTCTCCCCCTTTTTTCTTCTGTAATTATGTTTAGAGTACTCTTTCTACAGATACAGAAGATATTTTAAAAAAATAAGTATTTGTATAATTACATAGGTATGTCTGTGTTCATGGGTACATTGCAATCACCTAAAACTCTTGTCTAATATGCTTTTTAAATATTCTGTGTGGTTGTTTTTAAAGGCTCTCTTAATATATGGACTTGGCTTTGCTGGTTAGGAGAGAAGTTTCTGTAGTTGATTAATAAATATTCATTTGGAAGGCTAACCAGCTCTATTCCTTGAGGTTGATGATGTAATCACCCAAGTGCTGTCTGGCTTATCTCCAAATTTAAGTACTAAAGCACTGTTGTGCTGTTCTTCCTTGATTGGTTCATTGTTTTTGAACTGCTGCCAATGCCTTGAATACTTGAAGCAGGAATTGAAACAATAACAGAGACAATCTTTAAAGGATTTAAGGTAGAACAATTTAAGGAAGCTCTGGAAGTACTGTATTTGGAGACTCCTCATATTTCTAAGGCTGTAATTAAATCATATATAGGTATTTTATCTTTTGTTATTAGTTGAGTGCTTACATGTTAATAAAATATATCAAAAGTCCAGCAAACTTACAATGTCTATCCGTAATTAGCACATTCAATGAATTGAACCAGGGTATATCTTATATTCTCATGTTCAGTCTTTAATAATGGCAATTAGACAAAACCCAGTCCTGGGAAATAGAACTGGGCTTCATTTATTTACTTATTTTACAAATGAAGCTAATTTTTATTGAAAAATTTTATGAGCTCAGATAATTTATATTTGCAAAATAGCCTGGCCTTACTGAAAAGCTGTTATATATATTTAGTGCTTATCCAGTTGGTTAATTAATGATGAAAAGCCTGTAATGAAGTCCACTTAGAAAATTCAGCAGTCATATGGGGGTAGACAGCGAATTTATTTTAGTAATGATTTTAAATATTTGCAAAATGTGTTACTAATGAAGTATGAACACCTAGTTAATTTACAAAAGTTGACAGGAAGTTTTTTTAAATGGAGTTTTCTTCTTGTTTGCACTAAATATAAGAATATATAATCAAATGTTCTTGCCTTTTTTTTTTTCTGCTTTATAACTTGAAATTTTTATGGGTATGTATTTCAGCTGACTTCTCTTGATACTCTTTCCTAAGCTGAGCTGCTACCATCTGTAGGATTGACATTGGCATCTGATATGGTATATACATAAACTAGTCTCAAAACCTGATGGTTGAATTTCACCAAGCTTCTGGTTAGGAACTGATTAGTAATAGACTGATGAGTCATTCCATTGGTTTCTACACCATGTTTCCCATCAAATGCTAGTGCAAAAAATGCTAAAATAATAGTATTTATAGATGACCTGTTAGTCTTTATTTCTCCCAACAAAATAACAATGATTAGTAATGAATATATTTATAGGAATGAAGATTATATATGTAGAAAAGTATTTGTTCTCATTTTACTCTGGGCATTTATAAAAATGAAAATTTAAGTTAGCATAGCATGCTGAACCTCTTTATGCATTTCTAATGCTAAACATAAAGTTACTGGTTATTTTATATGGTTTGATATTTAAATGTACTTATTGAAATATGTTAATACTTTTTTTCTTTCAATGATTCCAGGTATAAAAAAGTTTAGTACCCTGGTCATTGTGCTGATTTTCTCTTAATAGGAATCATGATAAATATCCAGCATACAGAAGTGCAGTGAGTTATGATCTATATTCAATAGTGATTTAATCCAGAATTATCATCAGGTTAAAATACTATGATATTAGGAGAAGATTTTAAGTTTCAGTGGCAGTCATCTGACTTCCCATATTTAATGCTGAACATAATAACCATCTTTATTTATTGAATGCTCTTAAATAATAAAGTATTAGGGCTTGAAAGCCTGAAAACTCTCGTATGTTATCATTTATTCAGCATTTGGCATTCAGTTTTTATACTGTAGTGTTAGCTGCTAGACTGTCTTTCTTATGCCTTTAGTAGCTATTTTGTTTTTGCTCTGAATTCTGGTTTGTGAGGTGCAGTCTTGATTGAGACTACTTGCAACATCACGCCACGGGCCAGCTGTTGAGATTTGTTGAGGCGACCATAAGACGCTACAGCTGACGTGTTCCACCCACTTCCACTTCCACCTCCCTTTTAACGCTGTGTTTTCCCTGGAAAATAACCTTTCTTTACTTGAAATGAACTGCTACCTCTTCTGTGGCAGTTCTCTAACTTAAAGCACATTAAAGTTTTCTCAAGTTATGTTTTGTAAGCATTTAAGTAAGGACAAAGGGAATAGTCATTGTATGTACTAAAAACATTGTTCCTGACTAGAGTCTTTTTTTTTTTTTTTAAAGAGAATGGAAAAATAAATTTACAACTGTAATTTTAATTCTTATGTATTTGAAGACTCTTAGTTGCTTACATGAAATAATATGGCACCATTTTAATATTATACTCTGAATAATAATTGAATTCTAAAAATTGTTTTATGACAGTTTATATCTAATAAATTAAAATTTATTTGGCAGTACATTGTACTCAAATTGTTATAAAATGAAGCAATTTTCTACTTCTTATCACTTTCGAAGCTATTTATCTTATTTCACTTTATTTTCAGAGAGCGATCTTCTCCTCAGAGTACAGTGTCTTGTGTAAGTGTAAGCACCCAGACAGCTTCAGATGATCAGGCCGGTAAATTGTGGGATGAACTCAGTCTGGTTGGCCTTCCAGATGCCATTGATGTCCAAGCCTTATTTGATCCTACAGGTAGGAGCTTCTCTTCAGTAACAGCTGTTTTCTTGTTTCTGGAAGCACTGAAATTTTAGGGCATTATCAACTTATTCTCTAGAAGTTAATTAGGGTCATATTATAAAAATGTCATTAAACATATCTGATTAGGTAAATTATGATTACCTAATTTATTTAAAGTCTGCAGAGTTAACACTGGACAGGATGCTTTTATAAATATTTATATACTGTGGTGTGGATAGCAGCCCCATGGTTATGTGAAAATTGAGGAAAGAGAAAATTTTAAAGGAGTGTGTGAAAACTTGGGGGAGTATAGCACTTTCCTGTTGGGGTGGAAGACAGTAGATTTTTAGCCACATATATTCTCTTATAATAAACAGTATAATGAGCTCATACTCATGATATGGAGTGTTGGAATTTTAAGTAAATCTCATTCTATGCGTGAACTACAAATCCATCGAGAGTGGTTCAATTGCTGTGTGATAGAGAATTTAGAGACTGAGCTGTTACTGATGAGTGGTGGGTGCTCTTGCTTGGGATCAAGTGGAATGTGTTGTGCGAATGTTAATTTTTTATACATCCCCTTTGTCATCAACAAGATATTAAATAATGTTCCTTTTGTTTTTATATTAAGATACCAAATAAAACAGTAATATTTAAATATAATGAATAAAAACTAACTTCATTTCAGCTCAGATTACTGGGCTGTACCGCAAGAACTTCTGATTCAGTTGTTCTCAGATGTTGCCTGAGGTTGTGGATTTCTAACAAGTCCCCAAGTTGACGTTGGTGCTGCAGCTCGCAGACTGGGGCATGATCTGAGAAGGACTGTTGGATGGGTGGTACTCGCTACCATTATGTGCTTACCCAGCAGAGAGGACTTTGACATTTTAGGTCTTTATTTGCATTAATATTTTTGATGTTTATTCTTTTTCTCCTTTTCACTTTTCACATTTGAGGCACTTGTTGGGCTCATCGTCGTTGTGTGGAGTGGTCGCTGGGAGTGTGCCAGGTGGAAGAACCATTGTTAGTGAATGTGGACAAAGCTGTTGTCTCAGGGAGCACAGAAGTAAGTAAAAGAAGCTAAATTTTTTTTTTTTTTTAAGGATAACATTTAGTTCTATCAATTTATTTTCTTTATTTATTTTTTTATTGATTGTTCCAAACATTACAGAGCTCTTGATAAATCATCTTTCATACATTTGACTCCATTGGGTTTTGAACTCCCATTTCTACCCCAAATACAGATAGCAGAATCACATCTGTTACATACTCA